AGAAAGAAGTAGATGATTTAGCAGCAGAACTAAAAAGTCTTGAGGATAAAGCAGCAGAGGTTGTGAAGAATACAAATGCTGCAGAGGTAAGACTTAAAGATGGGAGTGAATGGTGTTTGAAACAATTTAAAGAGTTGGATATGTGATTTCTGCTTACATAGTAAGCACACAATAAGTTAAAACTTTTATAGCTATATTCATATTTGTATAATAAAAAGATGAGTATTGTCATTTTTCTGTAAATAAACTTTTAAAATGCATGGGACATAGGAAGAGATTGCTAACTTTATCTCTAATGTGAAAAATACCTGTTCTTTCCATTTAGAAGGGTCCTTATCTATAGTAGTTCTTCTTGGTTTTTAGGAATCCTTACCAGAGATCCAGAAAGAACATCGTAATCTACTTCAAGAACTAAAAGTAATTCAAGAAAATGAACACGCACTTCAAAAAGATGCACTTAGTATTAAGTTGAAACTTGAACAAATAGATGGTCATATTGCTGAACATAATTCTAAAATAAAATATTGGCAAAAAGAGGTAAGATTGTTCAATTTCATTAAATGTAACTTTAAATGTCCTGTATGAGTTTTTTGTTTTGTGTTTGAGATGTTATGATTCTTAATTCCAAGAGATAAATCACTATTTAGGTGTCTAGGGGACGTAATGAATAATATATAATAATTGTTATATATAGAAAAATCTGAATAATGGGTACATTAATCAACATCTTACCCCAGAGCTGATTCAGAGATTTAACAGAAGGCCTCGTGAACACTTGGGAACACTAGAACTGTTTTTCTTGAAGTCCTTTGAAAAATAATTGCTACAGGGGCGCCTGGATGGCTTAGTCGGTTAAGCGTCCGACTTTGGCTTAGGTCATGATCTCGCAGTTCATGGGTTCGGGCCCTGTGTCAGGCTCTGTGCTGACTGCCAGCTCAGAGCCTGGAGCCTCTCTCAGTTTGTGACTCCCTCTCTCTGACCCTCCCCTGTTCACTCTCTCTCTCTCCCCTAGAAATAAATAAAACATTAAAAAAGAAAAAAATAATTGCTACAGAAATTAGCCACAATTCCTTAGAATCTATTTTTTTGTTATATAGGTAATTTTCTCATATTGACTTGATGTTTTTTAAACAATAACTTCCCTAATGTTCATCTAAACTGAACTTTGTAGATTTCAAAAATATCATTGCATCCCATAGAAGATAATCCTCTTGAAGAGATTGCAGTTCTGAGCCCACAGGATCTTGAAGCAATCAAGAATCCAGATTCTATAACAAATCAAATTGCACTTTTAGAAGCCCAGTGTCATGAAATGAAACCAAACCTTGGTGCCATTGCAGAGTATAAAAAGAAGGTATGAATAAATTGTTGATGATTCAAATTCATTTTAGTCCTTAGCCCAAATTGTGAACTTTAATTTCATATAAATAGCAGCATTAATTCTCATATCAAATGAATAACTAGATATTTTTCTCATGATATTTTTTTCATAGGAAGAATTATATTTACAGCGAGTAGCAGAATTGGACAAAATTACTTGTGAAAGAGATCATTTTAGACAGGCATATGAAGATCTTCGGAAACAAAGGCTTAATGAATTCATGGCAGGTTTTTATATAATAACAAATAAATTAAAGGAAAATTATCAAATGCTTACTTTGGGAGGTGATGCTGAGCTGGAGCTTGTAGATAGCTTGGATCCTTTCTCTGAAGGAATCATGTTCAGGTTTGTAATTTGTACTGAGTTTTGGATCCTCTTGTTAACATATCTCTACATATTTTCCAAACTCTCAGTAATTTTTTTAGGGGTGGGAGATAAAGGTTAGAGCTATAGCTTGCTTATTTGGTGATAAATACTAATTTGTTTACATACTAGCAGTTCATAGCACAAATTATGAGCAAGCAGCAAATATTTAATTTTATACAGTATTTTCTCTATTTCATTTTTTTAATTTTTGAGCCATTTCAGCATAACATCAGGATTTTAAAATTGCAAAGCAAAACCAAAATATGTGCTGGAAATGGAAGAATAGCAAGATACTGACTTGCTATTTAAATCTTAAGATTTTGGTATGTGTTTCTGTATAATTATCCTCCAATAACATTTTTTATAAAATAACCCCCAAAAAGTTTAGATTTGTGAAAAGCAAATTAGAGATTCCCAAGGAAGGTAATAAAAGCCATTTACAGAAAACCAATCATGAAATCTTTACCTTTGCAACTAATTTGACTAATGAGAGATTTTGTTAATTCAGTGTTCGACCGCCTAAGAAAAGTTGGAAGAAGATCTTCAATCTTTCAGGAGGAGAGAAAACACTTAGTTCATTGGCTTTAGTATTTGCTCTTCACCACTACAAACCCACTCCCCTGTACTTCATGGACGAAATTGATGCGGCCCTTGATTTTAAAAATGTGTCCATTGTTGCATTTTATATATATGTAAGTAATCATTTAGAGGTTTTTGTTCTGGGAATTTTAAGGATTCCTTAACAATACACATGGAATTCATTGACATATTTCTTTTGCGCTTTTTCCCTATACTTTTAATTCTACGTCCTATGCTATCAGAGACCACGTCCTTTATTTGAACCAAGTACTTCCTTTTTGGACAAGTAAAATATAAATTGATAATGTAAGGTAGCAGAAACACAATTTAGGATCTCTGGTCTCCTGCCTATTTTCTCCACTAGAAGACTTCTAGGCAGCCACTTCTAGGTATTCCAAAAGCATCCCAAATTCCTCTATAACTCATCTACTATGTCATGAATTACCATGCCATCACTCATGTTCATGTTAATTATCAAAGTAATGTTGAATTTATTGCCCCGCCCCCGCAAAAAAAAAACATTTCAGGGAAGTAAAATTTAGATGTTTACTACACTACATGGTTACTGAACACTTCTAACCATTTTTTTTTTCCTCTTTAGGAACAAACAAAAAATGCCCAGTTCATCATAATTTCTCTTCGAAATAATATGTTTGAGATCTCAGACAGACTTATTGGAATTTACAAGACATATAACATAACAAAAAGTGTTGCAGTAAACCCAAAACAAATCGCATCTAAAGGACTTTGTTGAACTTGTTTATACCCAGGATTCCTCAAATGGAATCTGCATAGATTCAGCCTATTGTATTAGATTTTTTCTTTGTAAAGGATTATAAATTATATGAAGTATACATTTCTGGATCGAATAACTGATTTTTATGCTATTAGGAGACATGTTATAAGTCTAATAGTCTCTGTACCTGCTTCTTAGGCTGTAAGAATTTGACAATTTGGTAAGCAGCAGCAAGCTACGGAGAAAAGATGATGCCTGCAGGATCAGGTGATTTGCCCTTAGTCCCAAGTTGTTGCCAGCAGACTTAAAAGTAAGTTTGTTGATGAGCAATAAAGTTCTGAACTCAAATTACGTTAACCAGGAGGTAGCATAGCATTGTGCATCTTTGACCTACACTGGAAAAGCCTACCGACTACTTAATTGAATAAATCCTTAAGGTAGTCTATTTAATTCACTAGACAATTGCTATATCTATAACCCAAACACTGGGAACAGTTTTTTAAACTGTTGTGAATTCTGCATGATGAGAAATTAAATATTTTCTATGCTTTTCTAAAACTTGTGTTTAAAACTTCCTAAAGAACCAACAAATTGAGACAGTACCTGAACATGAATAAGGTAACTCCTCAGTTGAAAAGGAATAAATACCATCATTGCATCATAAAAGTAAATATGTAGGAGTTAACAGCTTCCTTAGTAGAAATGGAAATTATGTGCTGCTTGCATATTCAATTACCAAGGGTTTTTTTCCCCCCCGTTTTCCACACTGTATTAGCTCGGTGTTACAGTGCTTCTGAAAGTTGCAACCACTTGGTTTTCAAGAGGAATTTTGGTATTGATCAAAGTCTTTGCCCTGATTTCTAGATACTGATCCTAAGGAGTTAAAACTACAAGCTCTCTATTCAGCAACAGTTGTTTAGGAACTAAAAAAATCCAACAAAGATGGTTTGTATCATAACAGTCATTAAATATGTAAATATATTAGCATGTACTTAAATAAAGCAAAATCTGAAACTCCAATGTGGTCATTTGTTTTAAATTAAGATTACAGTAGGAAAAGTAGAACTGTAGGTAAGAGCAGTGGTAAGTGGAACTTAATATTCTTATTACATTTAGTTAATTCCCCTATATGAAAATTCCAAAGATAACTACTCTTGAATTTGAGCACCTTATTAAGCCACTCAGTACAAGTGAAGTAGCAAAATAAGTTTATTACAATATTTTGATATACATAAAACTTAGAAATATATCAAGATTATAGACTTTAAATTTTACAATTTCATACTCCTGGTAAAAATTATAAAACAGGCAGCATGTATAAGAATCAGTTATTCTGTACTATGTTCATGAATACTATATAAGATACATAATTTTGTCTACTAAGAACTGGCAAGTTACAAAATGTTGGTCAGACAAAATGTTCATAGGTAAATCAATTTTTAGTTATAAATGATTCTTAGACATAAATTAGAAGCCTTATTAAAAATAATACTGGCTTTACGCTTTGATAGCATGACAGCAGGAACACAAAATACATGTGTTCTCCCATATGCTGGCTCTATGGCCTTGGGCAAATTATTTTGGGGATCTATAAAAAGTAGATGTTAATACCTACTTCAGTAAGTGCTTGATCCATAATGTCTAACATTTCAGTGCTTATTAATACATGTACTCAAAAAGTACATGGCATTTTTTTTGTGACTAAAATTTATTGCAGCTTCAGCCTAATGTTATTAGTGTACATTTCAATACCTCCAAAAATGTTCTTTGCCCATGTGACTGTAAGTTGTGTTAGATAACTGATTCTCATCATAAATTTAATACAGCCATCCATCTTTGTGTTAAGACTTACTCTCAGTGTAGGGGCATCTGGGTGGTTCAGGCAGTTGAGCATCCAACTTCAGCTCAGGCCATGATCTCCTAGGGAGTTCAAGCCCCATGTTGAGTGCTATGCTGATAGCCCAGAGCTCAGAGCCTGCTCATGCTTGCTCTCTCAAAAAAATAAACAGGAGTAATTTAGAGCTATAGCTATGTTAATTCATATCTTCTCTGTAATCTAGGACCGGGAGCATTCCCTAATAGGACTAGAAAGTCTCTGAGCTAGGTAGGTTTCCTAGGGAATGGATCCAAGAGCAACAGCCGATTTGGGATTTCTGGAATGCAAGTAACTTTATACTTAACGGTTCTATGGACAAAAGAGCCAAAAGTCTTACCACAAGCACAATTCCAGTCCCTGTTAACAATAAGGGAACTAATCAAAGAGTTGACTTAATAGCTACACAGACTCCCATTTAAGCAAAATTCAAGAAAAGATTAAATTATTGATACTTTGATATTCACATAAGCAAATGGCAGAAAACTTAACATTTCTAAGACAAATACAATAGTTAACATGAGGCAACCTAATCTAAGGAGAATGACTATATCAACCGCATACTAGTCTAGTAATGTTTTCAGAGTTTTTATCCAAAAATTGATTTGACTGGCAAGACTAAATAAAGCACTAACCAAAAATCAAATTTAGACAGACCATTATTTGAAAAGAGCACTGTTCCCTAACACTTCCAAAATCAGTAGTTAGGAATTAATGTTGATAGATTTAATGCAGTGTTTATCTAAAACTAACGTATCGTGTGTGTTTGATCAGAAATATCCTTAATGTAAGCAATCCCTCACCCCTTTTAGACAGGTGCTTGAATTAAAGCCTCTACTCACCATCCTTGTTTCGCCCATTCAAAGGTTTTGGGCCACATTAAATAAAGGTATATATGCACTTTAAGGATTTTGCCATCTTTTAGCCTAAAAGTTATGCAGACATAACTGCAACACCAACCACTGCAGCATAAAATAATAATGCTAAAGGACAGTATTGGTACACAAAGGTTTTGCAATGTCACAGCAATAAAGTCAGCCTCAAGCAAACAAAAGGGGATAGTTTTAACTTTAGTTACTAGACAGTATCCTAGTTTAGACACATTCTGTATTATTCCTAACTTTGACACCTTTTCCATCTAAGAGAAGCATGGACAGTTTTAACATTTCTATGTATTTGTATTTGTTCCAACTCTGATAGTTTAGTTTGCTATTTATCTGTTAACCCTATTTCTCCCTTTAGCAATGGTTGTTAGTCTGTGCTGTACAAAATAAGCCTATTTAAACAATTCAGATTTGAAGTTTCAACGAGAAACTATTTTCCACATGAATTCCTTCAGTAAATATAAAGTGTGACATAGCGTATTGTTTAAATCATGCAAATTGTTGGATAAACTTTGGTAAACAGATAGAGAGACTTCAGAAAAACATATTGAAGTGATTTCATTTAAAAAGGTTATTATGTGTTGGTTAAAAAAGAGGATCAACATCAGTATCACTGAAATTAATGTAACTATAGCAATGTTTAAAATCTTAAAAAATTCGATTTCTTTTTCATCCTTATCAGGCCAGGAACATGGCATCCTCTTTGAAGAAATTTTCATTTCAGGAATAAGCATTTTCTTAATTTGTCCAATTTCTGTTCTGCTCCAGTCTTCTTTCAATATTTGGCTTACTCGAGGATAAATTTCAACAGGGTAAGCCTCAGGAAGTGGTCTTTGTTTCAAAATCTGTACATGTTGGCGGATATCATCAACTCTTTCAAGAAATTTCAGTGGAGACTCTTCCTGTAAAGATGTTGTCAGTGTCATTAATTCAAGCTGCTGCTCTCTTATTTCTTTCATTCTTTCAATTTGTGGAGTGTATTCTTGATTAATCAGATTGTTAACATTACCAAGAGCAGCTAGGAAATTTTTTTTCTTCTGTTCTAATGTATCACTAAGCTCCTTAAAATACTGGAGAACAACTTCCTTATCACTTTGGACCATCTTCTCTGAATGAGATTTCTGTTCTTCCAGCTTTTCGATAAGACAAGTAAGATCTGTCCAGTGTGTGTCAGTTAACTGTTCAAGCAGTTTTTGAGGCGTATCCTTTTCTTTCAGATAGGCACTCTGAAGATCATCAATGGGATGACCATGATGTTGCCCTATGGTAAGGCAATGACCACAAACTAATTTTTTATCTAGGAGACAGTAAACATTTAATGGTTGTCTGTAATGTTCAGGACAGGTAATGATATCTGGATGGTCTTCTTGCTGGTATTTTTCAATAATAGCCCTTAATGCAAAATTAACAGGTAAAGATTCAATACCAGTTGGAGCAATTTCAATAATACTTCTGCAGTTGGGGCACTTGAGTGGAATTCGTAAAGGTCTCCATATATAAAAGTTCCCAGATGCTTGAAGAACATTTTCCAAGCAATTTCTACAAAATGTATGAGAGCATGGTAGTACACGAGGATCTTCAAATATACTGTAACAAATGGGGCATGTTAACTCGTCCTCAAAATCGTGCATTTCCTGTCAAGAGAGAAAAGTGTTTTAAGCCTACATACAACAAAGACACTTGTACATACTATAAAGTTTCACGTGTTAACCTCAAAACTATTAATACACTATGCTTATCATTTAAAAGACAATAATCAAAATGTTTAAGTTTTTTTTTTTTTTTTAATGTTTTTTATTTATTTCTAGGAGAGAGAGAGCATGAGCAGGGGAGGGTCAGAGAGAGAGGGAGTCACAGACTGAAACAGGCTCCAGGCTCTGAGCTGGCAGTCAGCACAGAGCCCGACGCGGAGCTCGAACCCACGAACCGCGAGATCATGACCTGAGCGAAAGTCGGACGCCTAACCGACTAAGCCACCTGGGCGCCCCAAAATGTTTAAGATTTTTTAAAGGCAGCTTTCTGAGTAATACAACTCCTAATATGTAAGATAGACTGATCATTTTTAAGTTTACTCACCTTGGGACAAAAAAACATGCTAAACAATTCTAATTTGTAATAAATTCTTCAAATTAAAGTCACTTAAATTTGTTTCTTTGCAAAAGTAAAATTCAGTGTTCTACTGAAGTCTACTTAATGATAATCCTTGCAATATGTGCTAAAATCAAAACTGTACACAAATAATGAAGTCCTAGCCACAGCAGACAAGACCAAATAGACATATTGGTAAGAACGTTAAAATGGTCACTATTTGCAGATAACACAATATTTTATATAGAAAACCCTAAAGACTCCCGAGGCCCTCCCCCCCCCCCGCCAAAATTTTAGAATAAATGAACATTCAGTAAAGTTGCAGGATACAAAATTAATCTGTTGCATTCCTATACATTTATTAACAAAGTAGCAGAAAGAAATTAATACCCACATTTACTAGAATAAAATACCTAGGAGGAAGCCAAGGAGGTAAAAGACCTGTACTCTGAAAATTATTCAACACTGATGGAAGAAACGGAAGATGACAGAAGTTGAAAAATATGCCATATAGGAAGATTATTATTAAATGTCTATAATACCTAAAGCAATCTCCAGCTTCAAGGTAATCTCTATCAAAATACCAGTAATACTTCTCACAGAACTAGAACAAGCCTAAAATTTGTATGGAACCACCAAAGTCCCTGAGCAGCCAAAGTAATGGTAAGAAAGAACAAGGGTGGGGAGTACTGCAATCACAGGTTTCAAAAGACTACCAAGCTGTAGTGCTCAGTATGGTATGAAAACAAACAACACTCACGGGCAATGTGTGGACAAAGGAGACCAGAATATACATACATTAAGGAAAAAAATCATCTCTTTTTTTGATGATTTTGGGAATGATGCTGGGAAAACTGAACAACTATGTGCAAAAGAATGAAACCACCACTTTCTTTACACCATATACAAAAATAAAGTGGACTAAAGACCTAAACATAAAACCTGAAAACTCCCTTAAAGAAAACAAAGTAATCTCTGGGACATCAGCCTCAGTGACATTTTTGTAGACAGGTCTCAAGGGTAACCAAAACTAAAGTAAATTAGAAATACACAAAAATAAAGTCTCTGTCCAGAAAGTGAAAAGGCAGTGGAAGAAAATACATTTTGCAAATGATACCTGATAAGGCGCTAATCATCTAAAATCTATAAGGAACTTGTATAACCCAACACCAAAAAGCAATCCAATTAAAAAGTGGGCACAGGATGTGAATAAACAGGTTTCCAAAGACATTCAGATGGCCAATAGACACTTGACACAATGTTTGACATCACTGCTCATCACAGAAACACCCCTCAAAAACCATGAGACCCTAAGTTTGTCAGAATGGCTAGTAGACAAGAAATGAGTGTTGGTGAGGATATATAAAAGGGTATCCTGCATTGTCAGTGGAGTGTAAATTGGTGCAAACACTGGAAACCAGCATGGAGGTTCCTTAACTAAAAATTGAAATCCAATACAACCCTGTAATTCCACTACTACATATTTACCCAAAAAAATAAAAACTAATTCATGGGGCGCCTGGGTGGCTCAGTCAGTTAAGTGTCCAACTTCAGCTCAGGTCATGGCTGAGGTTCGTGGGTTTGAGCCCCTCATTGGGCTCTGTGCTGACAGCTAGCTCCAGCCTGGAACCTGCTTCAGATTTTGGATCTCCCTCTCTCTGACCCTCCCCTGCTCAAACTGTCTCAGAAATAAATAGAACATTAAAAAAAAAAAAACAAAAAAAAACCCCACTTAATTCAAAAAGATATATGTACCCCATGTTCACTGCAGCATTATCTGCAATAGCCAAGATACAGAGGCAATGCAATTATCAATAAGTGAATGGATAAGATCTGGTGGGTATGTGTGTATGTATATATAGATATATTATGTATTTAGATACACACAATGGAATAACAATCAGCCATAGAAAAATTAGATTTTGCCATCTACAACAACATGGATGGACCCAGAGGGTATTATTAAGCTAAGTGAAATAAGACTAAATACCATGATTTCAGTTACATGTGGAAATCTAAAAATCAAATGAGCAAACAAAAACACCAAAACAGACCCACAAATACAGAGAACAAACGGGGGGGCTACAGGTCAAGGTGGGTGGGGATGGTGAAATGGGTGAAGGGGCTTGGCAGTGCAGGCCTTACAGTTATGGGATAAGTCACAAAGATGAAAGGTACATCATAAGGAATACAGTTATTGGTACTGAATAGCATTATTACATGTATTAGCACGGTAGCTGCACTTACGTGATCACAACATAATATATATAGTTATTGAAACACTATATTGTATACCTGAAACTAATTTAATATGTGTCAACTAAAAGGTTAGGATTTTTTTTTTAATGTTTTTTTTATTTATTTCTAGGAGAGAGAGAGACAGCGTGAGCAGGGGAGGGTCAGAGAGAGAGGGGGTCACAGACTGAAATAGGCTCCAGGCTCTGAGCTGGCAGTCAGCACAGAGCCCGACGCAGAGCTCGAACCCACAAACCGCGAGATCATGACCTAAGCGAAAGTCGGACGCTTAACCGACTAAGCCACCCAGGCGCCCCTAGGATTTTTTTTAATGATGCAAATACAAGCAAGATTACACATTTCTCCTAAATAACAAATTGGGATTGGCAAAATGATAGTCTTTAATTAAAAAGAATTAATATCCCCAGTTGGATCAACCACAGTTTCTAAAGAAAAGTATTAAATTTCTCTAGGGGCACCTGGTGGCTCAGTCGGTTGAGTGTCCGATTTTGGCTCAGGTCATGATCTCACAGTTCATGGGTTCAAACCCCATGTCAGGCTCTGCTGAAAGCTCAGAGCCTGGAGCCTGCTTCAGATTCTGTGTCTCCTCTTTCTGCCCCTCCCCTACTCATGCTGTGTCTCAAAAATATTTAAAAGTTTTTTAAATAAATAATAATTTCTCTAGTAACTGCTATTATAAATTTCTTAGCTTCTTGAATTGAAATACTAGTATTTAAAGCCCAGAATCAGCATAGTGTAATATTCTAAAGTAATAATTTGGAGATTTGGAAGGGAAAACTTTTCTTTAATGTTTATTTGTTTTTGAGAGAGACAGAACCTGAAGCAGGTTCCAGGCTGTGAGCTGTCAGCACAAAGTCCAATGCAGAGCTTTGAACCCTTAGTCCTTCCAATAAAAATCCGTTTTAAAGATCAAATGTTGATTGGGGTTAACTAGGAAATACTGACCAGTAGAGTTAGTGGTAAAGAACATTAGTCCTCTTTACTTAATGAAAGAAACCCAGCAATAGTAACCTCTTGGCAAGATATTTTTGACATTTCCAACAACAGAAGCCTGAAATTTTGCATCCTACCTCCTAAGGTCTTAGTTTGTACCTATTCTCAAATGCAAGCCACAATCTTCAGGACCTACTTAGTCCTGATAGAGAAAAATCAAGTTACACCACCATTCAGAGAAACTTAAAGAGAAAAACAGAAAGCCCAAGTCTCATCCATGTAAAATATAAAGGTTACACCAAATGATCCTCCACAAAATTTTTAAGATTAAAAGTTTGCGAAGATGTCTACAAATAATTCTGTACTTTTAATAACTATTAAAAACCTCTTTAGACTTTTGGCTCTATGCTCTTTCATCATTTTGGAAATCAAACTCTTATTCAAGTCTCCAACTGGGCTCTGCCTCTTCCCCAACTTAGAGCCCTTATTATCTCACTGAATGCTGTACTGCCAATTTATAACACTTAACTGGAGTTTAAGAGAATTTTATAACATTTACCTATGTATTAGGATGTAAGCCTGCAATAAGGGCAGGAATTATGTCTAAACACAGAACTCAACACATAGTAGGTAGTCACTCAATACTGATTGGATACTACCCCTTAAGAGAGCAATGTTAATGAAATGTCAGAGCTTAGTTTTTTTATGTAGCAAAATCTCTGACTTTGTTTAGGAAAAGCTATAATAGGAAAGTCTGTAAGTCTATCAAAAAATATCCCATTCAGATTGACAATATTCAAAGCCTAATGGGCCAAAATGTGTCACATAGATAGTAAGGTTAAACTGTGAAGCACTCCAGGAAACTATGGTAACTGGGCAACCGTACAGAAGATGACATTCATTGCAGGTAAGTGCAAGCGAACACATGTTGGGAAGACTTTGTGACTTTACGCTATGCCTACGGAGAGCTCCGTAATCACACAAAAACCATCCATGAAAACCAACCTGTTTCTCGGAGGATTTTAGTGATGTCAGAATTCATAATGAAAGAATAAACAAAATAGCACTTTTCAGGGAAAAAACAGCATCTGACCAGTAGACATATATTCTATTTAGATATAATACTGGAGCTATTTAATGTTTTAAGTACCACACTTAGGCCTAAAACAATCTAGCCTCTTCCCTCTAAAGCCCCATATTTGTCAAAAGCTAGAAAATATTTTTGAGAACCCATTTAGGGACCCCAAAAGCTCAACTTTGTTTAGAATGAAGATATTCACAACAATACTGAAAGAAAATGTCATCTCTTGAATTTATATAAAATAGAAAGCAAATATGGTCTCAAACGTTAACTTTCATATAATTAGAAATTTGTGGATAGCTTGAAGATACAGAAATCAAATCCTACTCTTGGACTACCCTCTTCTTGCTGAGTTATTAAAAACAGATTTTAAGCAATAAATTTATGACAAGTCAGACTGGTTAACAGAAGCAAGCCTGGTTGAAAATAACTCTGGAAGGCCAGCAACTTTCTGACTCCGGTTACTGCCTGAGAAACAGAAGATATGGGTGGTTCCCATGCTTAGAAACTAATTCTTCCAGACACTAGTATGGCATTTTACCCACCAGAAGTTTTCCATACCAGCCCAGCCTATTGGGGAGGGAGGGCAGGAGAAAAAACTTTACCTGTGTGTATTTTCTAGGATGAGTAGATCTTAGATTTAGCTATGCACTATATATGAAACACCACTGGCAGTGAAAGGATGGCCTCAAAGTTCTCAGGAAAAAATGGCTTCCAACCTAAAATTCCATACCTAGAGGAACAAATTTTGAGGGTAGACTGAGGATAGTTGACATGAGAGGTCTAAAAATGAATACTCACCCTCCCTTTCTACTTCAGGAAAATAAGAAAAGCAAGAATTCTTACCAGGTTAATGGTGGAATTAAGTCCAGGACAAGTGTGCAATGTCAGAGAACAAGTCATCTGGAAAAAGATGATAGATCCAAAAGGAAGGTCTTTAAGAAATGGGACTGACAGACTATCTCGTTTGAACAGTGAAAGGTAATGACAAAGCTAAATTTTGGGAAAAGGGACTGAATTATATGGGGCATTCTTGGGATTGTCTCTCTGCACCCCCGCCCCATCGTCTCTCTCAAAATAAAAAAAGTTTGCCATTTGTTCTGAAGATAGTATAACAAGATTCCAAAACCTAACAAACACAAAATATAAAAATAAGACATATCAAAAATGGGTACTGATCTACAATCCTGAACACAATATTAGGAAAAACAAATCCAGAGTACATTAAAAGAATACAGTACAATGACCAAAATGAGGTTCTTCCCAGAAATGTAGAGTTAATTTAATAACAGAAAATTACTCTGTTAGGTCAAAAGAGAAAAACTGTATGATCACATAAGATGTGGAAAATGCACATAATAGAAGAGAGTTAAGTAAGCAATCCACAAAGACAGAAAGTGAAATGGTGCTAGTGGAGAGTTATTGTGTAGTTCCAGTTTGGGAAGATGGAAAAAGTGCCACCAATGGATGTGACGTTGAACAAAAATGTGAATGTACTTAAGGCCACTAAATCATACACTTAAAAATGGTTACAATGGTACATTTTATGCATATTTTCAACACAATAAGAACTTTTTTTAAGTTTTTGCCTATTACCTAGTCTTTCCTCTGCCAAATTAATTGTAGAATCAATTTATATTATTTTACACTTTTAGAAAGCAAAGAAGTAAAATAAAAGTAACCCATGTACAATGTTATTTTCCTCCAGTGAGTACTAAAAGCCCCAAAACAATGATAACTTATTTCAAGATTTCCTGCTTCCCTTTTTAAAGTCACCAAGAAATAAATACAAAAAACTCATTTTCAGAAAAAAATATGAGGCTAAATCATCCACTTAAAAGTTATTTCACAAATTTCTTGTGTTTACGTGTCAAAAATAAACACACTTCTGAATTTCTAAACTTTTTATGCAGTCTTTGTCCAGAAAACTGATTTCCTATGGAGTCCCACAATGTCTAACTAGCATATTATGAATGGTCAGTACTGATAGATTACAGAGATTTGGGAAGATCTCCAAATTCTCTAGATTATGGAGAATCAAGGAATACAAAAAAATATCATTTTCCAATCTATTACAGTTTAGTGTGTAAACTACTTTTTAAGTTTTAATTCACTAATAAAGCCTTTCATCTCTAAACATGAACAGTAATAAAACATCCATTACATTTTACAACCTCTGAAGAGAAATTATGTTTACCACATTATAGAGTTAAGTGACTTGCTTTGGAACTTAGTGTGAGTCAGCAATAAGTCTGGAAAAATTCTGATTGGGTCTCACATCTTTTGGCCCTAACTGATACAAAGCACATTTTATGCAATTCAAGTTTACTTTAGGGGTGCCTCGGTGGCTCAGTTGGTTGAGCATCCAACTCTTGATTTCAGCTCAAGCCTCACACTGGACTTGGTGCTGAGCGTAGAGTCTGCTTAGGAGTCTCTCTGTCCCTCTCCCCTGCTTGCAATTCTCTCTCCAAAATAAAAAATAAAAATGCTTTTTTAAAAAATTACTTTAGAAATACAATTGTGCCATCTATATACATAGGCAAGATTTTAAAAATACTTTTATATATATAAACACAAAAATAATGAAGGATCACCAAAATTAAAAAAAAAAAAATCCTATGGTCAGACAGGACTTCAACTCTGCCCATTTGCACTTGTTCTTGTATTCTGACATTAACCTATTTCCCCAACCTAAAAAAGAAACCATTTATGCAATTTAACCAGGAACTGAAATGAAAAATTAGGGTTTTCATTGCTTTTTTCTTAACACTTTTCACAGTGAAAATCTATTCGGTGGAAAACATCCAGCAATATGTCTGCGGGAAGGCAATATTTAACACTACCTAAAATCAAAATTTCACCTTGCCAGACTAGGTAAACTGTGGTACCTTACTTTAAAGGATAGCTATATAATCATCAAAAGAATGCAAACTGGTATGTAAGTGGATAGTAAAAAGGTGTCCAGGTAACTTAGTAAATGCAGCTTGCAGATCTGTATGTATAAAATGATACCATTTGCGTGTTTAGATGTACACAAATCCTTGTAAAATTTCTGAAAGAGGATACATAAGTGACTAAGGTGTAATTCAAATGAAGAAGTTGTTTACTTTTCATTTTATGCTCCTCCTAGATGGCTTTAATTTTATACACTAACATGTCTTTTTCAAAAGATTAAAGAATCTCAGCTTACACTTTAAACTCAGAAACAAATTACTGAAAATTTATTTTGTATTCACTTACTGTTTTAGAGCTTACCTATTTGTTGATCGTCTGGCTTAGCGACTGAATATACTTTATCTTCTCCAACTTTTTCAGATTCTGTTATTAGTATCTAAAATTAAAATAATTTTACCTTAATGTTTCAATTTACATTCTCAAAAAATATGTTAAATTAGACATCATAGGAATGGTTATTTCACTCTTTGATGTTTATCTCCCCTGTACCTCACTGTGTTTTTATAAAAACTGTGACAAATATCATCAGTTACTGGCGCTGGAGAGGTAGCACCTGTACCCTGAAAACCCCAACAATTCTGTGATCAAATAAATTGTCACAAAGGATCTCTTTGTAGCGTCAATACGAACTCTTGAAAATGTTGGTCAACAATGGTGATGACGGAACAAACATCCACGCTCATCTGTGGCTGCTTAGAGTTAACCTGGACACAAGAAACATCCATGGGAGTGAAAGTTCTTGCCAGCTTAAAATTATAAACATTGATTGAGAGCATTCCAATCAATAAGTCCGTACATCTCTCAGTTCTGCCACTTAAATGTTGTGGGACCCTGAGTCAGTTTTTCCCAGTGCTTCTCAGAACTGAGGTTTCACACTTGTAAAAATAGGCATAATTAAACCTACTCTGTTAAGGGAGCCTCCCTCCTAATGCACTTCCACCGCCTCGGCGCCCTCCACCGCCAAACCACGCGAGGCCGACCAGTTCTGTGGAGGGCGGCTCTTCTCGCCCTCACCACCACAAACGGCTGCCCCGTCACAGAAATGCAGTTCCATACCGGAGGGAGGAAAACGAGATTCCCCAAAATCCCCCCATTCGCGACAGGAAAGAATAAACGCGGGATTCATGCCCACCCCTCTCCATCACGCCCTGGACTCTTCTCCAAACACACCTAGTGTACCAGCCTGTGCTACAGGGGAAGAAAAGACCCAGAGACACATTCTCGGACCCGAAAAGCCGCTCCTTAGACTCACCGCCAAGAGGAAGAGCCAGCTCCTCCACAGGCTGAAACAGCTCTACGGCCTCCAGGCTGGGCGTCCCCGAGATGCTCTGCGTCCCCGCCCTGCTCCGCCCTGAGGGATTTCAGGTGCCCAGATGGGGCGGGGCCTTGCGGAGACTCAGGACGCAGGCGCAGTCTCCCGGCAACTTTCAACTGCGCAGCATCCGCCAATCGGAAAGCGCGCGGGGCAGCTGTTCAAAAGTAAACTGCTCGCAGTGCCTGTGGAGACAGAGACGGAATTGCAAGGGCTGGTTTCGAGCTCTGGGCCAGCTTTCCTGCACCTGCGCACTAGGAGGGCCCCCCCCTCCGCCCCCGCCTCTTGGAGGCTCTGAAGGCACGCGGTAGGAGGTGCTTCAGTGCGTGCGGGCCCTTCCAGCGGCCAAAGTCGTAGGCTGGGCTCCCTCGTGGGGAAGTGAGATTTTGTCCGCGGCTCCAGGAGAGGTGCAGTCTAGCGGCGGCTGACGGTTTCTACAAAAATGTTTCACAGGACTGTGTTTTACTTGGAGCCAATCCGGCACAGCTGACTCTAGACTTTAACGCGCAGCGTTTCCCATTGTTACTTCACAGGTTCCCTGCCAGGGGAAGTTTCCTCCCCCAGCCACCCCCCCCTTGAGAGCACACGCACACCAGTGCGCAAGCTCCGTCCCTCCTCCCTCCTGTCCGACCTGGACCCTACCAGAGTACGTGGCTGAGCCTAGGGGAGGGGTCTTCTGATTATCTACAGTTTTCTTGAAGAGAACTTATTCTGAGCCATCTCCCTAGTCTCCCCCACCTCCTTTTCCAATTTCATAAAATTATCGACTAGAGATGACTCTTGCTCAGAATTCCTGATTCAATCTCTTCACCGTATTTCACCTTAAGCCCCTAGGATCAGAAAACATACAGTTAGGTAGTCCTCTTCCCTTTTTTTCTTGAGAAACTTTATCTCGCTGTAGCTCAAGACTCATCACAGCTTCCATCTCTTTAACTGTACTGAAAAGTCATTTACCGCTGTGCCAAATAAAACAGGCTTGGTATACTGTATATTGCCAGTACATTCAGGTATTAGGCTCTTATACATTAAATTATAGAAGAATATAAAACATAGTATGAAACAAGATAATATCTGTGAGTGCCAACTTCAGATGTCTTCACCAATCCAGTTACTGAAAGTTGGCTTTTGATGTATGGAGTCTGTCAATATCACAAGATTCCCACTGTTACATGATGGTATATATCCATTTCAGCTTTATTATGGATATACATTTTATATTTAAACACTGGTTTCATCCTGATTTTTGTTAGTTTTCTGTCAAAATAATATGGATATCTCTCCTTAGCAATAAATGTACTACTGTAAAAATTATTCTCTTTAAAAGAACTGAACCAGCGATATAAACTACGGATTTGGGGTGATGTGTCAATGTAGATTCATCACTTGTAACAAATATACTATTGTGGGATCTTGGAATGCAAAGGCCAAGAAAGAATTCTTGAGACATTGTGTGGTGCAACTTAGTAAGCTTATTTAAGTAGCACAGGGTCAGGACCCATGGGCAGAAAGAGCTGCACTTCTCTATGAAGTTGGTGGTTATATGGTTAGTGCTCAAGGGGGAGCGGACGTACATAGAGTGTTAAATCATAAATGTTTTCTTTGAATTTCATCTCCTAAAACTACTTTCCCAAGATGTCTCCGATCCTTATCATTCAGCTCAATATTAACTAATGGTGAGATGTGCAGACACTCATGAGACCCTTCAAGAATGTAGCAACCAGTATATATTTGATCCTTATCAAAACTATGCAGGCTATAGGTCAGCCTAGTGGGCTAAAGGTGAACATTTTTCTGCTTCTATCCCTCATTTCCCACCCTGAACAATTTTAGTCCTTAAATCTTTAAGATTGTTGAAGGGCAAAGGGCTCATCTTTTGAACTTCTTCGAGCTGACAGAAGAAGATGGTTGTAGAGATGTCCCTATAGACTAAAATTGGTCACTATCTGTTTCTACAAGTAGATTACAGAAGGCCACTGCTGTAGAGTCCATAGTGAACCTCCAGATAGTAGTAAGGATTACCTGTCAGCTGGGTGAAGGAGTCAGGAATTACTTGCTTGTATCTCGACAATAGGACAGAACAAAGCAAATGAGACAACGCATTAGTATTAATATTATAATGAAAATAAGAGCAATGAGAAGACCATTTAGCATGGACCACAGTTCACTTCCTGACCAAGAAAGTAATCAGTCATGAAGTGGTAGTGTAGGGTCTTTAAGAGCCAACAGTTTGACTATTGCTATCAGTAAGTAATCCTGTTATATTTTTATTAAAATCTGGAATGTAGACAAAACATGCCACTTTAATAATGGCATTCATTCCTGCTTATGCTACTGTTAAGACATCTAATGCCATTCTATTTTGTAGAATTGCTTTACACATTTGAGTTACTTTAATGTTTAATAATGTAATGCTATTTTGAGAGTCATTTAAGGCCTTAATTGTGTATTTATCAAGGACCTCTGTGTGCCATATGACATCTTCTAAACCTACCGGTGGAAGAAAAATAGATGTCAGATGCTCATACCAATGGAACACAGATCTTGTCCATTGGTGCTTTAAATACGGAAGATTATCTGGACTTATGATAGTCCTAGTGCTATGGCCATGCATCTGGGCATAACCCATAGTACATCTTCCAGTCCAGCCTGGTGGAAGCCAGGGCCACAAACTGGGTCACATAACCATTAATAACCGTTGTGTTTCATTAGATGCAAGATATCTGATGCCTGGCTGCCCCTGTCCAGTCAATAGCAAACCAGAACATTGCCTATAACATAATGGTATGGTCACAGACCTCTTGGGGGGAGCCATTCCATTTGGCAAGTACTATTGGACCATGAATCAGGAGTATGGCTTTTCTGTTCCCATCATAAAAGGGCCTTTTGGCTTAGTTGTCCTTTTGTAGGAGTAAGCCACATAGATCTATCCCATGTTTGATATAATCCTTCCTGGGTGTATCAATAAGAAGGACTATGTAGTCAGGAAATTTATTGCCATGAACCTGTTTGTGGGTTGGCATATTCAGTTAAAATTTTGGCAGTTTGAGGATAAGAGAAAGGCTTCCATTGGCCTGGAGAGTCCCATGTAACATTTATCATAGGCCAACAAGAAACATTATTTTTAGTAATAGAAATACACCTATATGTGCTGGTATGGGGGTGACTTCATGTTGGGTTTGGTTAAAGGTGGCCACTGTATGCTTTGCTAAAGGCTCTACTTGTAATTTTATATCAATAGAGATGGCTCCTGGGATCAATAGGGCTAAGGGATAAAACCATTAAGAAGCCTTTTTTGCCTTATGTCTAGCCTTAATATCTTAATTACAAGGAGTTCCTGGCAGGTGGGAGATGACTTGTCTCAGGAGATAAGGGCATCCCTACATGCATTATCCAATCAGATTATAAGGAAGGTGGGGAGCATCCATTATCATCACAAGTTCATAGTTAACTCCATGGAGTCGGGTATGCTCTGACTTTCAAGGAGCAATTTTGTTATTCCAGCCACATAGAATCGATCAAGGTGACAGCTGAGTTATGCAATTGTTGGGGAGTCCATCCCATTATCCAGCTGTTTAAATAATCATATGCCCATGAGGTCCCTTTTATTATCTCCATAGAGTAATAAGTAGAAAGTTTATCTATATATGAGCTATTATGGCAATTATGAAGTTCTCCACAAGTAGTCTAGCTTAGGCAAACAACAAACATTTAAAGAGAATTAATCTTCCTTAAATCCATAAGGATGCATTATTGAAACATAATATTTCTAAATTCACCCTTATTTCCAGAGACGGTAAAATCTAGACTAATTCATTTGTAAAACAGTCCAATTATAACAAGCTTGGCCTGATTATTTACATAAACTCAGCAATAATAGTGATTGATCATACAGATCTTTTAGAATCTGCTTTGCCAGGACTCTATATAAGGAATCTTTATTTTTTAATTATTTATTTAGAGAGAGAGAGAGAGATCGAGAGAAAGAGAGACAGAAAGAGCATGAGCTGGGTAGGGGCAGAGAGAGAGGGAGAGAGAGAATCCCAAGCAGGCACCACATTGTCAGTGGGGAGCCTGATGGGGGGCTCAATCCCATGAACCATGAGATCATGACCTGAATCAAAAATAAGACTCAAACACTTAACTGACAGAACCACCCCAGTGCCCCTATATAAGGAATCTTTAGATTGAACTTTTGACAGTCTCTTGAGGCCATAGCCAAACCAAATACTTGTCATCAGACTTTCCTGCAATACCTATAGATTTGGATGTATCCCTCTTCTCGAGGTCCCCAAAATACCCTGAGATTTCTTGTACCTGGCAGGAAGTGACACTCTTTACTCGCCTGTTAAGGTTGCTGGGAACTCTGTAAGCAAGGTATCAGGCTAACATTCTCAAGGAGCTTTATTGGCTCCATAAAGTCACCTTTATTTCCTTAGAGCTGTCTGGTCATATCTCAGTCTATGCATGTCTCTCTCAAATATGACATTCCAGTCAAAGCCTTGGTAATATAACCAATGTTTCCAATGGTGTGCTATTACAAGGAGAACAGATACTTATTGAATGTACACAAATAATTATAATTGCCATGGAAGAAAGAATACTCATTGAGAGTTTCTGAATTCTAAAAGGTTCAGGTAGGGAGAAAAATTAAATGCTTCAATTTGTTCATAAGGGAATATTTTATCATATTTCTCAATTCATTCCATCCTATGTTATTAGGATGGAATTTTTGTTCAGTTTGAATGCAGCTTTCCCATTACTTCTGGAAATTCTTACCCAGTTGAGTTTTATGATTTTAAAGATATCAAAAACCTATGTTTGTCAAAAGTTCTTTTTATGAATCTCCTTGAAGACAAAACATATTTTGCAAGAGCATCAGAACAATAACTATAAATGACCAAAGAAACAACTCAGAAATGGACATGGTTAAAAATCTGATAGGAGAGTTCATTATAATGTAGCTGAAAAAGAAATCCAGTTATTTCTGTAGTGCACAACATTTCAAGAATTCAAGTAATGACCTTATACCAACAGCTATTAAAACGTCAGGAATTTCATACATTTTCTAGAATAGTTATAGCGACAATATAAGGCTTATCATTATTGGTTTGGCAATACTTTCCAAGTAATTTAACATACCAAATAAACAAGCCTAATTTGTCAAAAAGACTTCATTTACAATTCAAATTACAGGGGATTCTGTTAGAAACCTTAGAAAGTTTTAAAGCACATGCCTAAATTGGATTACAGGTCGTTATAAATCCAATTTAACCAAGATGGCAATAAGGGATTCTACAAAAGATTATACAATCATTAATAAAACTTAGTCCTTTAACATTGAGGAGTTTTAACTTTCTTAAGTAATCAAAGACCTGAAAAGACAAAACAAAGTTGCAAGATATAAAATCAATTCACAGAAATCAGTTGCATTCCTATACACCAACAACGAAGTGACAGAAAGAGAAATCAAGGAACCAATCCCATTTATAATTGCACCAAAACCCATAAAATACCTAGGAATAAATCTAACCAAAGAGGTGAAAAATCTAAACACTGAAAACTACAGAAAGCTTATGAAAGAAATTGAAGACACACACACACACACACACAGGAAAAATATTCCATGCTCCTGGATAGAAGAACAAATATTGTTATAATGTCAATGCTGCCCAAAGCAATCTACATATTCAATGCAATCCCTAACAAAATAACACCAGCATTCTTCACAGACCTAGAACAAAAAAATCCTAAAATTTGTATGGAACCAGAAAAGACCCTGAATAGCCAAAGCAATCTTGAAAAAGAAAACCAAAACTGGAGGCATCACAATTCCAGACTTCAAGCTGTATTACAAAGCTGTAATCATCAAGACAGTAAGGTACTGGCACAAAAACAGACTCTTAGATTTTTGGAACTGAATAGTGAACCCATAAATGGACCCACAAATGTATGGCCAACTCATCTTTGA